ACAAATCTCAGTTTCAACAGCTTTTTTAACTGCTAACAGACATTCCAACTCTCAGCCCACGGCCAGTGTTCAAAACTTGGCGGTTCCCGGGGTTCACCCGGCCTCTAGGAAATGGGTACCAGAGTTAACACTCTGGGGTAAGTAAAGGAACATCGCTGTAGCTACAGAGTTTTGTGCAGACGGCGACATAGGCGGACAGTTTCTTATCCGCTGTCCATACTGGTGGCAGAGTACTTATGGTTTATAACTGTGTGCGATGACGCTGGTTCACATCTTCAAACTTTACCTTGACCTTTTAGACATTCCAACTGACCTGGACGTCTGGATTCTCCCAATGAAACCGTTTCTAAACTAAACTGAGATTGGTGATTGAAGACAATTATTTGTGTCAAAGAGCATTAACAGAAAAGAATAAGAAAAACCTCTGTGGCTTGATTACAAATATAATTTTCAGATGATTCAAATTCAATGGCAATTCAGTTTATGTGATTAAAATAACATACTCATGTACATGATAAACATCTGATGTCAGTTTCATAACACTATATGTATGTGTGTGGGCGCACATGCACGCACACACACACATACGCACGCACAAACACACACTTTTTTTTAATGTTATCAATGGTGCTTCACAACTAAACACACAAAAAAACATTTTGACATTCAAAATCTGTGTAATTAAATGAATGAAACTGTTCCAATTGCACAAAAGAAAAACTTAGCTTTCAACCAATCAATGAGTTCTTTTACATCTGGGTTAACAATAATTCTTAGGCTAGGGGCTTTCCAGTCAACTAATAAGAACATGCCATTGGATAATTTTTTTTAAACAATGTTTATGTGTATATATGTATGTGTGTGTGTGTATATATATATATCCTCCCATTGATATATATATATATATGTATGCTTCATGGTAAATGGCCCTTCAGTTTACAATGCTTCAGAACAAGGTAAATGGCCCTTCAGTTTACTTATATATATATATATATATATATGTTTTCCCCCAGATCACTAATAAATTTGTTAACAATTTATTTACTTATATATATATATGCCAGCGGCATGGTAGTGTATGTGTGGCAGCTACATGACATTACTGAAACACACTAAAGCTATGACTAAACGCCATTCAAATGCAATGAAAGACTATCATTTGGTTGGGTTAAATTGTGTCACTTCTTTTTTGTTGGTTGTATCACTGATAACAGATTGTAGCACACTGTCGTGGTTTTCAGACATTGTCTTGCACTGGTCGGGTGGCTTGAGGGCTGGATTTGTTCAACCTTTTGCAGGTTTCATCTACACCATTTATCACTCTCTTTTTTGGGATGCCTCTCACCTTCCTCCTAGATGTTCTACTGTAAAAAGTCTCATATGCAGTTTTGTCCGGCTGCATTCTCACTAGATGGCTGAACCATGTCAATTTTTGTCTGTCAATATAATCCAGACCGGTCTTATTCCAACTTTCTCTCTAATGCTGGTATTGCCAACCCTGTCTCTCTAATGCTGGTATTGCCAACCCTGTCTCTCTAATGTTTGTATTGCCAACCCTGTCTCTCTAATGCTGGTATTGTCAACCCTGTCTATCTAATGCTGGTATTGCCAACCCTGTCTCTCTAATGTTGGTATTGCCAACCCTGTCTCTCTAATGCTGGTATTGTCAACCCTGTCTCTCTAATGCTGGTATTGCCAACCCTGTCTCTCTAATGTTGATATTGCCAACCCTGTCTCTCTAATGTTGGTATTGCCAACCCTGTCTCTCTAATGTTGGTATTGCCAACCCTGTCTCTCTAATGTTGGTATTGCCAACCCTGTCTCTCTAATGTTGGTATTGCCAACCCTGTCTCTCTAATGTTGGTATTGCCAACCCTGTCTCTCTAATGCTGGTATTGCCAACCCTGTCTCTCTAATGTTGGTATTGCCAACCCTGTCTCTCTAATGTTGATATTGCCAACCCTGTCTCTCTAATGCTGGTATTGCCAACCCTGTCTCTCTAATGCTGGTATTGCCAACCCTGTCTCGTCTAGTGCTGTAAGTGACCTTGAGGAGACAGCACATTTCACATGTAGTTATTTTCTGTTCTCATACCCTATTCATTGTCCATGTTTGGCACTGACAACATAAAGTAGGGATAAAGATGCTATTTTTCATTTGCTGTCTCAAGGTGACTAACAACACTAGACGAGACAGAGTTACGAATACCAGCATCAGAGAGTCAGTTGGAATAATCTGGTCACTGTCGCAGTTACACAAAACTAGAACCCTGCATGTGTAGGTAGAATTTCTTATACCACTCTCACAGACAGACAGTACAGATTTTTTTAATGAATACCATTCTATCACACAGACAAAGTTTCTTATACCACTCTCCAGACAGACAATACAGATTTTTTTTTAATGAATACTATTCTATCACACAGACAAAGTTTCTTATACCACTCTTCAGACAATACAGATTTTTTTAAAATGAATACCATTCTATCACACAGACAAAGTTTTTTACACCACTGTCACAGACAATGCAAGAACATAATACATTAGTCCTGTCTGCATCTATTTTATGACAGGGAGGTACTTTATACTCTTGTTTGCCCGGCGCAATAGCTAAACTGGTTAAACTAGCTGCTCGGTGACCAGGTGACAAGCTCCTTGTGGTCCGAGTTCACGCTCCGAGGTAGGCAGAAAAGCCAAATATTTCCCAGATGTACAGTATCTATCATGAAATCAAGGCCGAAGGGTTGCCATATCAATACCAAGTCAAAAATGTTAACAACTCAGGGAAACTGACTGAAAAATGAATACATAACAGCCTCTGGTTTTTGTAGAAATAATCACCCACATATGCCAGATACTTCTGGAGTTCTCACGTCATCATCTGTACTTTCCAAGACACATGTCTGGTACTTTCCCAGACAGACTCATGTCTGGCGCTTTCTCAGACAGACTCATGTCTGGTGGTTTTCCAGACAGACTCAGGTCTGGTACTTTCTCAGACAGACTTTTATGACTGGCACTTTCCCAGATAGACTCATGTCTGGTACTTTCTTAGACAGACTCATCAATAGTCCTTTTGTATTTTTACTTTTCCCAGAAACATCTCATGTGTGAAGTTTTTTACTTTTCCCAGAAACATCTCATGTGTGAAGTTTTTTACTTTTCCCAGAAACATCTCATGTGTGAAGTTTTTACTTTTCCCAGAAACATCTCATGTGTGAAGTTTTTACTTTTCCCAGAAACATCTCATGTGTGAAGTTGATAAGACTTGTTGGTACATCCTAGAGACATGTCAGGCGGTATAAAGTCATTTCTCAGCTGGGGTCCGAACAGGGACCACAGGGTCAGTGTGCCAAAGCACTAGCCACTTCACTATGACAGCCTAAGGTTACAGACATTCTAGAAATGTGGTCTGATAGACAACATCATCAAGACAACTTAAAAATCTCACAGAACATCTTAGGACTGGAATATAAGAACACTGAACACATTATGATGGTGTATACAACAAACATGTTCAAAGATCAGTCTACTCTCCATCTCTAGTAGTACACTGAACACATTATGATGGTGTATACAACAAACATGTTCAAAGATCAGTCTGCTCTCCATCTCTAGTAGTACACTGAACACATTATGATGGTGTATACAACAAACATGTTCTAAGTTCAGTCTACTCTCCATCTCTAGTAGTACACTGAACACATTATGATGGTGTATACAACAAACATGTTCAAAGATCAGTCTACTCTCCATCTCTAGTAGTACACTGAACACATTATGATGGTGTATACAACAAACATGTTCAAAGATCAGTCTGCTCTCCATCTCTAGTAGTATCTAGTGTGTTTCTTTACTTGAACAACTTTCAAATCTCATTGTCTCCCCTTTCTCCTGCTAATTCCTTCTATCCTTCACATACCCCACACAATATGCTGATACATATTCAAGATAGCAGGAACTACCATTTAAGAATATGTCGAGATGTGCTTGATGACAGACATGCAACAAACATGTTGACGACAGAAATGCAAACATGCAGCTAGAGGAGAAGAATTTATATGACTACATAGGTTCACTGTTCTTTTTTTTTCCAGCTACTCTGCGAGTCAAGGGAAAACTGGAACGTGTGGCAGCTGGAAACATTTATGGGGAAGAAAGAAAAAAAAAACAGGCAAGAGAAAATTCCTGATGACTGTTTGTTGTGGCACTGTTAAGTCCAATTAAGAACTGACGTCACAGAACTCATGACATTCCTGTGTGCACTCAATCCTCTCTTCAGCAGCCAGGAAAGAGTTCCAATGTTGAAGGTACCAGTAGCAGTTGGATTATATGTCCATCTTTACTTTTCTCTGAGTGTCGTGCCAAAACAACGGCACTGACAAGTGTCAGCACATGAACTAATTCTAACTGCCAGTGATTGCAAGACATGCAGCAGCATGATCACCTATGCCAGCCAGCAAAGCATTTCATGATGTACACTGCATGAACACATCTACACAAGTCATTTGCAACAACAACAACAAAAAAAGCATTTATTAAAAAAAATATACATATAACACAGGAAAATATAGTTCACTTAATTTTACATATAAATGGTTTAAAACTCTGAATTCATCTTTGGAAGTGGGAACATGTCATACTAAAGACTCAAACATAAAACCCTGGCTGTAACAAATCCCAGCTGTGAGACTAAATCAATAGATTCAATATCTGGATATTAACAAGTACAGCACATGAAAGCAATAACCGCAGGACTACTGCAGCTAACATCACACATGCAGGAAACCACATAACATTGATGACTGGACATTATCTATTACATGTAAGCCCATGCTGCTGCACTCCAAACCAAGAAGCTGGTGCTCAGTCTCCATTCACAATCGACTTGGTTGATGCATAAGGCATCAAAAAGCCAGGTCTACCAATTTCAGCTCCCTTCTTGTGGTCCGTCTGTGTCCAGTCATCTGCTTGAACACACCTCAGATGCTGATCTGGTATCAACTCCGGCAAGCAGGACAAAAATGTTTCTTTGATGGATGAAGTTTAATAATATCAGAAGTCTCTGAAACCAACAATGAAAATGTATGACACCCTCTGCTGCTACCGTATACAAATAATTTGGTCAATGCTACCTATAATGTTCAGAGAGATCTAGGTTAATCTTTTTAACCCTCTCGCCACAGGAATAGTTTAAAATAAAATATTTACCCCCCAAAAAATGGGTTAAAAAAACCATAGGATTTCAAAGAAAAGAATCCTTTCAAATTTGTTTTCCCCCAGATCACTAATAAATTTGTTAACAATTTATTTACTTACCTTTTTTCTCAAAATATTTAAAGATGCATGAAGGGCATAATCAATAAACACAAACACAGGGTAATGCATTAAATGGATTGCGCTCCCCAAGGCCTTAAAAACATATACCATGTGGCTTATACAGCCATGACCTTTATCACTGAGGCTAATGGGAAAATGTGGTGTCAACTTGGCTTTAAAGAAGTTACTAAGCTCAAAGGACCCTTCCCCAATGCTGTTTTTAGATAATGTTTTTATATCCTGACCTCCTAAGTGTTTGTGCAGGAGCAAAAACAGCCAATAGCATTAACTATGCATCTTGTACACAGGGCAAAATAGGCAAGTCGGAAAAGTGACATTAAGGGGTTTTCAGACCCAACCAGGAATGTCGGTTTTTCTAACTTCTCAGAGCAAGAGAGTAAAATCTTACTGACTTGTTACTGCTCTAAGACTATATACAGTATCTGACAGACTGGTTTTAGTTCTATAAAGAACTACCTGCATTGCTCAGTAACATTAGGTTAATCTCTCTGTAAGTTTTCCTGTCTGCACTCATAGACAGCACAGGAAGATTCTCCTCACAAATTGATGACTGCACACTTCATTCTTCTTCTTCTTCACGTTCACCGGCTGTAAACTCTCTGGTGGAAAGTTATGGCTGTTTGTCCACTTCTGAACTGCAGTCCTGTTCCAAAACCTGAGTGTTGTGTGTGCATCTGTTTGACAGATCTGACTTATTTGTATGCAGACTATTGATTCCTTTCCTCTCAGGTAGATGCACTCTGTCTTTGAAGAAAGCTCCCAATTAGTCAACTCTTACGACATGCTCATGGGTAGGCAGTGAGTCTATTCTTGTTTTCCCTATAACAGGGCCCCGGAACCCACACGGGGAACACTTCATTCTAACAGGCGTCTTCCAGGTGATTTCTTGACTGTGTTCATCTCGAAGTAAAACACTGTATTCAACTGGAAAAATAAGAAAGAAGTGCAATATCAAGCTGTTCTAAACATATGGTGCTAGATCTGTGGCAGCTTGATCAACTTGATGGGTAGTGTAGTCTGTGGAGATGATACTTATCAAAATTTACATAAAGACATCACAACACACACACAAGCATTACCTTCCTCCAGAGTTTCTCGCTTGGAGTTTAAATAATCACTTGCTATCTTGACAAAAATTTTATCTGCAAGAAACAGCAAGTTACAATATTTCAATTAGATCACCAATAATAATCTGACACAGATAAACTACTTTCTAGCACGACCAATCCGATCCTTCATCATCAACATCTGCCCTGTCAATAAGCATCAGCAGTATGATTTGCCATCCCAGGTGATCACCAGAGTCAGAGATGAGGTCAGTGCTCCTGTCCTGCCACATTCATATGGCCAAGCCATCCCCATTTTATCTACTGCTCTTTAATTGAAACTGTAACACTAACCATTTCCAAGTCAAACCAATCTGCAGTGCTGACTCACACATTCTCCATCTTCTTACCAGACCAAAATGACAAACTCTACACTATACATATCTATGTTTCTCTAAGGTTCATGTCTATATTTGTGTACTTTTCTGTTGTCACTGTCATTCTGTTGTGTCGTTATATGTCACTGTCATTCTACACTACACATATCTATGTTTCTCTCAGGTTCATGTCTATATCTGTGTACTGTCATTCTACACTTATCTATGTTTCTCTCAGGTTGTCACTGTCATTCTGTTGTGTCGTTATATGTCACTGTCATTCTACACTACACATATCTATGTTTCTCTCAGGTTCATGTCTATATCTGTGTACTTTTCTGTTGTCACTGTCATCCTGTTGTGTCGTTATATGTCACTGTCATTCTACACTACACATATCTATGTTTCTCTCAGGTTCATGTCTATATCTGTGTACTTTTCTGTTGTCACTGTCATCCTGTTGTGCCGTTATATGTCACTGTCATCCTGTTGTGCCGTTATATGTCACTGTCATCCTGTTGTGCCGTTATATGTCACTGTCATCCTGTTGTGCCGTTATATGTCACTGTCATCCTGTTGTGCCGTTATACGTCACTGTTGTGCTGTTATATCCTGTTGTGCCGTTATATGTCACTGTCATCCTGTTGTGCCGTTATACGTCACTGTCTGGTTATATCACTGTCATGTTGTGCCGTTATATGTCACTGTCATCCTGTGCCGTTTATGTCACTGCCGTTATCATGTCACTGTGCCGTTATATGTCCTGTCATCTGTTGTGCCGTTATATGTCACTGTCATCCTGTGCCGTTATATGTCACTGTCATCCTGTGTGCCGTTATATGTCACTGTCATCCTGTTGTGCCATTATATGTCACTGTCATCACTGTCATCCTGTTGTGCCGTTATATGTCACTGTCATCCTGTTGTGCCGTTATATTTCACTGTCATCCTGTTGTGCCGTTATATGTCACTGTCATCCTGTTGTGCCGTTATACGTCACTGTCATCCTGTTGTGCCGTTATATGTCACTGTCATCCTGTTGTGCCGTTATATTTCACTGTCATCCTGTTGCGTGCCGTTATATGTCACTGTCTAGTCCTCTATTCTGTTCTGGGTGTCTGTACGTGTGATTGTATGTGTGTGTATGCATGCATGCATGTGAAGGTGTGTATGTATGGAATGTGTGTGTACATATATGTCCATATATGTATGTGGGTGTCTTTTCTGTTTGCATATATATATGTAGATGCATTTATGTATGTATGTATGTATGTATGTATGTATGTATGTATGTATGTATGTATGTATGTATGAATGTATGTATGTATGTATGTATGTATGTATGTGTTAGGTATGTTAGGTATGTCTGTATATGAGTGTGCATGTATGAGAATGTGAGAGCATATATATATGTGTGTGAGTGTGTAAGATTGTGTACACATGATGTATGTATTATATTCTATAATGTACATTTTTATTCTATATCCATAACATGCATTTTAGATAACAGGCATTGGTACTCTGAAAAATGAGTGCTTAGAAGGGCCGAATGTCAGACGGGCCTGCGTGCCCAATTTGTAACCCTTTGAAAATAAAGTTTGTTCGTTTGTTCGTTCTATCCAGTGTAATCATTTCGATGTCATGGATGGAATCTACTGCAGCACCGTTTGTTTTCCTCCGCAACTTTTGTCTTTAGCTTTCCCTTGGACATCATCATTTCCTCAGTCCAAATGTTTCCTATTTCAGTGGCTTTTTAGTGATTCTCTGCCCGCTCCTCCTGATCACCTTCCCAATACACTACCATATTCTTTTTCTTATAACTTTTTTTTTTAAATTCAATGTTCAAATTTCTCCTTAGACATTTGTTTTTGAATGCATTGAACTTTTGTTCCACATCTTTTGAGGGCCCCAACTTTCACCTGCACATGTTAAACTTGAATTAAACAATATGTTGAATTTGAATGAAAAACATGTAACAGCTTGTAAAACTACAATTCACGGCATCATATTTTCTTCAAATTGATGATGCCTTGACAATACTTTTCTTTCAGCTAAAGTCCAAAATAGGAAAGCTTTCAAAATGTGGCTTTATTTATTTTAAATTCTTCATTCAAATCGCACACAAACAAAAAATATACAGGGCAGGGTAAATGTGAGATACGGCAACAACTAACAAATAATGAAAAAATGGTACCTATGTCTTTGCCTGTCTTGCTCGAAGTTTCATAAACATCACCTCTCACATCTGAAAACATGAACGGTTTGAAACCATTTACAAACCAGTAACATAAAATTCATAATATCAACAAAAATGTAAAACATGCAACAATATAACATAAGAATACAATATGAACAGAAAATACACAGCAAACAGGTCACAGAAACAAACTACGAGTTTGCAGCCAAACATGGAATAAAGCACTGACTCAAGAGTGGCTATACTAATCTTGTGATGATACTTGCACACCAACAATCCTCCTGTTGTGTCTTAATCCACCTGTAACATATTTACAATGACAAACACTGACAGCCTTTTTTCACTTGTTTACTTAAACACAGCTCATACTTATATAGAGCTCATACTTAAACAGAGCTCATACTTATTTACATTTCAATTATGAAAATATACTTATATAGAGCTTAACTTATACTGAGCTACTTATATAGAGCTCTAACTTATACTGAGCTACTTATATAGAGCTCATACTTATACTGAGCTACTTATATAGAGCTCATACTTATACTGAGCTACTTATATAGAGCTCATACTTATATAGAGCTCAAGTATAAGCAATCTTCTTCATCTTCTGAAGATGTTCAGTGTGAAACTGAAAGAAGGTTCCAGTGTGTGGTAACCAAACAGGTTTTCCAGAGAAACAAACATTCCTATCATCAAGTAATAACATACTATACTGAAAGTTGGACACACAAGGTGAAAGAAATGTGGATACTTTTGAGGTGACGTCTTATCTTGGGATACCAATAATATACTGAACACAAGGTGATGGGCAAACATGCATTTAAAGTCACAGCAGACAGAGAACATCTTCAACATGGGATGTGGGCGAAACGAAAGGGTACAGGCTGAAGAGGGGTGGCTTGTGGATGACACAGGCAGAACTGACTATCAGAAATAGTAGAGAATATATACCCAGTGAGGAAGGCTTTCATAGCTAACTTGTATCGAGGGTATTGGGAATGGATGACTGGTGTTACAGAGGTATCCATACAAGAACTGATCAAGGAACATTCACACCAAGATGATATATACACAAATAAATCTGTAACCAGAGGTGAACAGAATGGATGGAGTTTCATTGAAAGGAGCCTCGCATATAGCGTCACAATGTCTATCATGAGAATGGTGGTGGAAGCAGTAATGGTAGTTTTCTGAGTTGTATAGCCTGACATGTTAACACACTCACAAAACATTCATTCTTGAGACAATAGAAACATGCCTTATGCTCCCAGTGGCTTGCATTGCTTTGTAAAACTCAAACCAGATGCAAATTGTGAATTTTTTTGCCCATGAAATTCAGTCGTGAGCGCTAACGCCCAGGCTGCTGCCATGCTTGGGGTGACAAGCTGCATCACGTTGGTCCTTCACCTCTCATAATTAGTCATCTTTTTCTTCATGCTCATTGGGAGGCGGGGTGGGGGCATTTATTCTTTTGTTTCCTTTCCCTATATTGGAACCCTGGAACCCACCGGGGCAGCTGAGGAATAAGAGGCAGAAGAAGTAAATTAGATAATAAAAGTGCATTAGCGTGAAGTACGTTAGTGTGAACACACATGGAAACACAGAGTTATGATTTTATAGAAGAATTATACCATCGACCGAAACAAAAGCGTTAAGGCAAATTGTGTTAGAAATTAACTAAGATAACTGGATACTAGAATTTTCATAAACAGCAACAATACACACAAACCAGAATTATTAGAAAATTTAAAAAACTGACAACTGGATAAAGACTATAGTTGAAGACAGACATCTGTTACCTATTGCTAAAGCTTTTGTTTCTTTCTCATCAATTCTACGGAGATCTGGATTTCCTTCAATGAGATCATATTTGGTTCCACACAGATGAATCTGACAACCCTGCAAGTGCAAACAGACAAAGTTCAATACCAGGTCATCACGTAGGGACCCTGGGAATGTTACTCTTCCACCTCATGACCACTTAGTCCATAGCCTGGCTGTAGACTTTATCAGACTATATTCTGAGTCAAATCTAGAGATTCATCAGACAGCTGTCAGAGTAGGCAGACTGAAACTCCGCAAGGAAACTCACAGTTCAACAATGCCAGTTAAATTACCAAATGCCAGTTAAGTTAACAAAGCACACTGGCTATGTTAGCGAATGGTTCCTAGAACAGAATATGTCATACATAACAAGCACTACCTACAATGACATGACTGTTGTTGTCAGATGTTAGTTACAGTCTAAATTTTACGATAAACGGATCACCTCATAGTGGCTCTGTTTCTGTGCCAGCAGAAACCATATGGAATAGCTACCACTGTCTCTCGTGACAAACCTTAAATGGGCTACAGTTCCAGCAAAGCCAATAGCATGCACACATATTAAATGCATAAGGCAACCGCTAGAAGTGCTGGCACAAACAGTCCACCACTAGAATTGAAGTTCATCATCAATGGAAGCAGCAGTTACAGCAAATCAGCAGTTGCACGTGCAATAAAACATAAGGCACAACAAGATCTGTGGCAACAGGCCACCTGACATTTTTTAATGTTAGCAACCTCTACTATATCAACAAAATGAGTAGCACATGCTGAAAAGATCAACAGTAGAAGAGACAGAGGGAGAGCTATTGAAATGATGCTGGACTATCTTAGATGGCTGCACTGTGAATATCAAGAGAACTGATGCAGAACACCAAGGGATGGAGATCTAGGTGCAGACTTGGCCAGGCCCACAATGACCATGATGACCACTAGGTGTGTTTCTTCTTCTTTCGTTCGCTTGAAACAAATGATCTATACCTGCAATGTTGTCTCTAGTATGAACTTCACTGTCTTTTGTAATTCACTCAGGGACCCATAAAGACTGACTTGCACTGATGTTTCTCTTGGCCAAATGTTTTGCTTTGATATGTTGTATTTGGGACAGTCTTCAAGGACATGATCTGTTGTCTCAGGTGCCAATCCACATGTGCACATGGCTGATTCGCCAATTAAAAATTTTGTGTACTTTTGTGGCTGCGAAGTCGATTGTGTCCTGTTCTAAGGCGTAGAAAAATAACTGGCTCTGGTCTGTCCATCAAATGATAATCGTCTTGTGCCAGTTTTGGTGGCTTTCTGATTTATTTGATTATTCTTATCTTTTGTTGATAAGAGACTGGTGCGTCATATTAGTTCAAATTTATTAATACTGTAATCTGTTTCATGAATAATTCATTCAGTTAACAAAACAGACTCAACTCTGTGGACCACGACACTAGCTGCTCCATGCCATGATGTCAAACTCCAATATCATCTCTCTTGATCTCACCCTGCCTCTTCTGCCCTGAACCTCTTGTACTATTCTCCATGTGGGTTCTGGGACCTTTCAGAATAGAACCCACTTCCTCTGTAACAAACGGTGTGGAAAAAGGAAACTTCTTCATGTGGATTCAGTGGCCCCATTTTGGGGGAAAACAGAAGAGCCCCACTCCCCCAAAAAGCATGTCACAGAACTGCAAGTAGGTCCATCCACATCCTGTACACCTCTATGCAAATGATCTTATTCAAATATGGACAATTCCTCCATAAGTAAATAGTCCTTCTTTAATAAGTATGGGTCAGGATGTGGGTAAAGGAGTCTTGTTCAATCCTAAATCTTTTGGAAGTGAGTAAAATTGAGAATTAACTCACAGGTAACTATCCAGAGCCGAACTACCGCTTATTTGGCAAAAGGAATACTTTCCGCTACTGGCTCGGGAGAGTTTGAAATTGTAGCGTCATTCTAGAAACAGATCCTGAAGTCAGCAGATGCTCTGTTTTTTCTGTCAACTTACATATATATTTACTCTGAAAGTCACCTTTTTTACCGGGGAACTTTAAGAGAGTATGGGTAAGTTGTAATTTACTTAATTTAGTTTAAGTCATATTTCCATGCTGGATCATCTAGACTGGTGCAGCAATGGAAAACTGGCTGTACATCACCACCACTGGACGCATATTGCAGATGTAACCAAACTGGAGAGTTTTACCTTGATTCAGAGGGAAGATGGCCGATTACTTCTTTCGCAGCTTAGTCCCACGTTGACGTTTTTAAAACAACCTGCTAGGGAGAGGCAGATTCGGCTTGACCATCAGAGGTAAACAACATAAGTTTGATAGTGGGAAATCGCCTTCTGTATTGTATATTATGTTCGACTTAATAAATATTTCATGATCCATTGTGTACCCATATTTGTTAGGCATTCCTTAATGGGAGTGGAACAGTCGATCTTATTCTTATGCTTGGCAATCGCTGTTTTCACTGAAGTAGACTGGGGCATGGCTTCATGTTTGCTAGGGTATATCTGGGGATAAATCCTTGTCTAGTCTATTCTTCTCTATGAAGGCCAATCACTGGTATCTAAGCATAAACTGAAGATTTATGGTGGGAAGGAACAGTACAAAGGCATATGATTTAATTGTTGTTTAACCAAGGTTTTCACTGTACACTATTCTCAGGATGTATGAGAAAATGACAGTGCTGACTCCACTGGGATTCACATCAGGATCAAAGTAAGCGTGATCTACAAGGGTACTAACATCTATCACCCATCCACCAGTAAAATCCATACCAGTCAACAGAAGTTTTTGCCACTACCAACTGCCTCCAGCAAATGCATGATTTTATATCATCATCTGTGTTCATGAACTTGAAAGATATTATACTGACATTAGGAGTGGGCAGATTAGTTTGTAATAGAACGGTATATTTGTGCCCATATAACTCTAAAGCAGAAATTGCCTTGGATGGATGACAGGAGCTGATCAATCATTCTCTACACTTGATGATAAGAATAAATACCAGAAGGTACAGCCAACCAGTCAGTTCATGCCAAGAGTTTGCTTTTACCTTAATACATCATTAGCACAGAAATGAACTTGATCAGTGATTTTCTGTCAGGCCTGTAGTCATTCCTGTGTGCATTGTTATTTCATCAGATTTCTGTTGATACTGTGTTTTTATTTTGACTGTGATAGTGATCCTATTCCAGTCTGGGGGTGGTGAGGTAGTCTGGCCAAGTTGTGCCCAAGAATATCTTTGAAAATTCTAGGGAGCCAAATACCTGAGCTGCCTCATCCCTGAAGTGGTGTTGGATGGTTGTTGGAGCTGCAGGATACCGTCTAGACCAACATGAGCCGCCATGACAACAATATATCACTTCAAAGTATCTTTTCTTACTAGGAGAGACCCTAATTAAGACATGTGTCAACATCGTCTTTAGACAGAAACTAGACCAAAGTCCAGAGGTGGACGAACAACCAGAACTTGCCACTTGAGTTCACAGCCAGTGAACACAAAGAAGAAGAAAGAAAAAACGATGAATAATTAGGGGCGTGTAAACTGGATATGTTGGATGGAGAGGCGAGGATATCACAGTCTAGCTGTAAACCATAAAACAGGAAAAGACACAGAAGAAGAAAGTCTTTCTGTCACAGCATATTTCAGTTTCCTCTTGTCATTCTGTACATAAAGAAAGCAAACTATTCTCTTCTGATGAGAGTAACCAGTTTTCTGTGGTACAAATCTGTGTGATAATGATGATGGAGAATACCAATGTATTACCTCTGCCTTCTTCTGCAGGCAGAGTGGTGGCAGGCATGCATGCAGCTTCTCTAACTGTTCCTGTAAAGCTGCGCTGCAGCAGAGAGAAACTATACAGACACCTCTAGCTCAGCAGACACCTCTAGCTCAGCAGACACCTCTAGCTCAGAAGACATCTCTAGCTCAAACAACGCAGAAGACAGTAAACACGGAAGGAGGTCAGATGTAAATGCCAAAAGATGCAAGTCTTGTAGCTCTGCTGACACAACACAAATACCATCTGGTATATTTTTTTAACAGTCAAGATGGCACATAATGGCACAACAGGATAATGAATGAATGAATGAATGAAATTAAATGCAGAAAAAAACAGACTAAAGTTCCATTGTGACAGGTGGGTAAAAAGTATATGACCACAGAGGAAGAGAGTGTGAGAAGTGAAACACAAACCTCTTCATGCTTCTGTAGTTCCCCAATCCAAAACCTGGCCCTGTCAAAGCTGGATTTATCCGTCAGATCATAGCACACGATGGCAGCTTTAGCTCCCCTGTAGTAGATCCTGCTCATGGCTTCGTATCGTTCACTGCCAGCAGTGTCCTGAGTTCAACAAAATATTCAACCAATGGAATTTGGCAAACTTGGCCAATCAGATAACATGTTGAAAACACTACTATAAAAAAAAGGTAACGTCGGGAGATGTGAACCAGCGTCATTGCAAACGGTTTTAAACCATAAGTGCTTTGCCACCAGTACGGACAGCTGATAAGAATTGTCCACCTGTGTCGTCGTTCACATGTAACTCTGTAGCTACAGCGACGTTCCTCCATTTACCCCAGAGTGTCAACTCTGGTACCCATTTCCTAGAGGCTGGGTGAACCCCGGGAGCCGCCCAGTTTTGAACAGCAACCGTGGGCTGCAGCGAGTCGCAGCTGGATTTGAAAGCGAGCCTCTTATCGACTGTGCTAACGCGGCCCCTTAAAAAAACAACACTACTATTAGTTGTGTTACAATCAACCAATGAAACCATTTGTGAAAACAGCCAATCAGATCACACATTACCAACAACATTATATCCAACCCAATGACAGCATAAATGCAGCCAATCACATCAAATATTAAAACATGACTTAACTGTGTTCAACCAATGAAACTAGGCAAACACAACATATCACTTCACAAATTCAAATAATATGATACTTTCAAGAGCAAAGTAAAACAGCAGTGAGAAAGTCACAGCTTGATTGCTTGCAACTGACTCATTTAAAGCACAACTGACTAGGATACTGCTCTTCCTCTAGTTTAGTATCCTGCATCACTACAGATCAGCTGAGAAAGTGGGACATGAAGAGGAAAGAGACTGATACCACTAAATGTTTGAATAAGTTGGCCAATGAACACTGATCTCAGTTTCATTGTGAACAGACAGCACAGCATGTGTCCTGGTCAGAGCTAGTGAGACAGAAAGAGTATCACTTGTTTAAACACCAGATATAATGCATCATCCAACCATCCCTTATACCATGCATGTAAACTGAGGATCCATTGAGGGCCACATTGGTCAAATTTTATTGTCACGAGGGCTCCACACGACAACTACGTGGAGTCATTTAATAAAAACATTAACCCAGAACATTTCATTTGTGTGGGCCGCAGGTGTGCTTACAAAGGCCACATGTGGCCTGCGGACCGCCAGTCTGACATGCCTGCCCTATACTGTAAGAGTGTTCAATGATCCTGTAACTTGTCGTTCTTGCAGCCCTAGCAAACACTGAGACTGCAACAGTATCTCAGTCACTGCTGGAGAAGCTTAAAGAAAAAGAAACCATTTCCTAGTCACTGCTGGAGAAGCTTAAAGAGAAAGCAACAATTTCCAAGTCTCTGCTGGAGAAGCTTAAAGAGAAAGCAACAATTTCCAAGTCGCTGCTGGAGAAGCTTAAAGAGAAAGCAACAATTTCCAAGTCGCTGCTGGAGAAGCTTAAAGAGAAAGCAACAATTTCCAAGTCGCTGCTGGAGAAACTTAAAGAGAAAGCAACAATTTCCAAGTCGCTGCTGGAGAAGCTTAAAGAGAAAGCAACAATTTCCAAGTCGCTGCTGGAGAAGCTTAAAGAGAAAGCAACAATTTCCAAGTCGCTGCTGGAGAAGCTTAAAGAGAAAGCAACAATTTCCAAGTCGCTGCTGGAGAAGCTTAAAGAGAAAGCAACAATTTCCAAGTCGCTGCTGGAGAAGCTTAAAGAGAAAGCAACAATTTCCAAGTCGCTGCTGGAGAAGCTTAAAGAGAAAGCAACAAATTCCAAGTCGCTGCTGGAGAAGCTTAAAGAGAAAGCAACAAATTCCAAGTCGCTGCTGGAGAAGCTTAAAGAGAAAGCATCAAATTCCAAGTCGCTGCTGGAAAAGCTTAAAGAGAAAGCAACAAATTCCAAGTCGCTGCTGGAGAAGCTTAAAGAGAAAGCAACTATTTCCAAGTCGCTGCTGGAGAAGCTTAAAGAGAAAGCAACAACTGCCAAGTCATTACTGGAAAATGTTAAACAGAAAACAACAAAGTTCCAAGTCAGTGCAGAAAATGACAATAATGGTAGGTGTAAGTTAGAGACAACAAAATGTTCCAAGTCCCTGATAGAAAAAACTTGAAATAAATTTTTGTTGTAAATAAAAATTATATTAAAACAAAGCCAAGCTTACCCATATTCCAATGACCACACTTTTGTTGTTTATAACAACGGTCTTAGCTCCAAATGCAGCTCCGATTGTCTAAGAGAAGAGATATGACAGACCATTTTGTAATAATTACACACTGCATCGCCATGGCTGGTACTCACGTCTGCAACAACATTTAACATCTACTACCGAATCATTCAATATTTAACCATTTGGGGTCGACTGAGCCAATCTATCGGCACAACAGCAAAACTGCTAAACAGATGGGCCGATCTTTCAGCCTGTTAATATAAGCCTTGGGACTGTCTGGTTGGTTTTCATACCAACTATTCAGATTATTTCTCACATTTCTTGCACATGTGGGCTGTTCAGTGGCAACTTTCGTGAAGGTTTGTTAGGTTCTGTAATTTTACATCAATTTTTTAAGGGTTGGGGGGGGCGGCGGGTACCAGTGACCAACAACTGTTTAAATTACTGTTGCGTCATAGCAATGTAAACGTAGTAGGAGGCAGGAAAAGGAGTAGAACCATGTGCCAGAAGTGTCTGGAGGGTCTACATGGGCCTTGCTTCAGAAAACACAAGTGTTCGGACTTAATCAGGCTTCCTTTATCAGAAAATTGCACTACAATGATTTAGTCATGTTTGTCTCAAGTAAATTTTTTTTTAAATGCATGGATAAATATGCAAATCTGAAAGCTAATTTGAATAAATGTAGCGAGGTAAGTGATTCATAAAGACTGTTAGCTAATTCAATTTCCTATACCAATATATATTGTTCTGTATATGTTAATTAAAATGCATTATTTGTGTGTGTGTCAACAAAAAGAATCCCCTCCTGAAGGCTCTGTCTACTTGGCACTAAAACTCCATAAAAGGCTTCGCTTCAAAAGGTTAACCCTCAGAGCTTTTATTATCTCAGAGCTTTTATTATCTCAGAGCTTTTATTATATCAGCTTTTATTATCTCAGAGCTTTTATGATCTCAAGCTTTTATGATCTCAGAGCTTTTATTATCTCAGAGCTTTTATTATCTCAGAGCTTTTAGGATCTCAAGCTTTTATTATCTCAGAGCTTTTATTATCTCAGAGCTTTTATTATCTCAGAGCTTTTATTATCTCAGAGCTCTTTTTATCAAAATACAGGTCATTGACATATCAATGTCAACACTTTGAAATGTGGAATTCATGTTTCTATTGTTGTTCTTTGTGTGTTATTTATCTTACATAAATCTTTATATTCTGTAAAACCACATCTCTGAACCATATAGGGATTTCTTTACTTGTTTAATTATTTTCTGGGATTCCCTGTCATCTTAAAACTGCCATAAAATATTTTTATCACAGCCATGAAAACAAAATACTTTTTGCCTTTACATAGAGTCAAAACAATATATAACAACTGCTCTGAGTACTGATTTAAAAAACAATAAATAACAACTGCTCTGAGTACTGATTTAAGAATAAATACCAAAGCACTGTTGTGTGCTAAATTGAGTCAGCACACTACCAAGTGTCTAGCAGGTACTCTTCAGCTTCCTTTCTTAACAAGACAACTCGACGACGATGACACCGTCATACAAGTTTATTTAACAGGATACATGACACAAATGCAGAGACGTAGTTATTGATCACAGCTGACATTCGCACATCGTTCATTTGTCCTCACAGCTCTCTATCTCTCACTGTGTAGTGCCCTCTCCTGGACTACTGCAGATACCAGGATGACGGCGTCCCACTCTCTGGACGCGTTGTACAGCTGAACAGGACGACTTCTCCCATTCACTGGACCTTGATATTAATTCAGCATACAACACGGCTGACTGGAGACGGACTTCTCTTGCCGTACTCCGAAACCAGGCACTACTGGTCTTCCCGTCCCCTGGACTTACTTTGCCAGCGGGACCATATTCCCATACCGCAATCCGACATATATTAACATCTTACTCGGACCTAAATGCCCGATAGTCGTACGGTATGTTTGTCCGTTAGACTCGAGAGATTACCTGGACCCTGACTTGGTCTCTGATTCTCGTTTTCTCTCTCTTCTCGCTCTATCTTGACTGTTGCTCCCCGAGGGGCTTTTAGCCCTCAGGCTACAGCTCACTCTCTGGACTGTCTACGCAGCCCAATTTATATATGTCGAATCTGTGTAGGTGGATGGTGATTACACGAGAGGCACGCTTGTGTGGGCGTTCTCGTGAATCATGATTCTGTGGGTGTTCTCGGGACTCGCTCATGTGAGTGTTCCCGAAGATCACGCTAATGTGGGTGGCTGATGTTACCCGAGAATCACACTGTCACTTAATTCACACTTTATCTCGTTATCCACGCTTTCAGACCACCACACAGAATCCCACGCGTCCACTTTCTCTCGTGCATGCACGCCTTGTTCATGAATAGACATTTTCACCCACAACATGAGGGAACTGTATTAAAGGGTCCACTGGTCTCCTCTTAATACTCAGCCCTGTTGACACTCTTCCCCCGTGAACTTACAGAAAGTACAGGCATACCATTGTCCCTTCCCACAATATCACACTTAACCCAAATCAGCGCGCAACAAGCACATACAGATGCTCCGTCTCCCGCAGCAAATGTCTTGAGGTGTAGATACTAACTGTTCCCCTAGCACACTGATTATGCACACAACGTTCTCTTCCTTTCATCCGTCCCTCCTTGCCAGATCCACTTTTAATTCTTAGTTCACACATTCTTGCACATGTTATTTAATCTAATATCATGTCTTCTATCAGCAGTCATTCATATATGGTCTTCAGAATATCTCCCTTGTCCAGTACGAGTGTTTGTAATAACTGCTCATCAAATGGTATTCGTTAACCTAAACAGACAAGTTTCAAGCTGGACCAGTAATAATTGTCAAGAACCAATTAATAATGAGATCCCATAACAATTAATATTAACATGCTGAATTAACATAATAAGTTTTGGACTGAAAACACAGTTTAGCCATATGAGATGCATGGCAAACATCAAGATGTGCTGTCAGAGTATCTCTCTAAGACAAGCTGACACTGTAGCACAAGAACAAACACAATTACAGGCATGATCAAACAATATTTACAACTGCAACAAACATTATCTGCAGCACAACTATATTCTCAAAAAAGAAATTTTGTTTACAATAACAAAACAACATGAAAACACAGCTGTTTGACTCTCTCATGTTTTATTTGTTTCTTTACTCATTGTGTCCTGTTCCTCCTGTAACAATAATCTATCCTTTTCCAACAGTTACTGTAACCATTACTGCCCCACACTTGTATCAGTTTAACTCTTGACACTGGACAAATGTTACTCTAAAGTACACAAACTTGGGGGATAAACTGTGCTGAACTAGCAATTGTCTCAGACTGAAGGAGTTAAAAGCAAACAAACATTATAGACATGCAATCAGATCTAAAGGCACTGACAACGGTACACATCAAGTTAGATTAGCAGCTAATTAAACATGACCAAGACTCTACACAAAACAGTGCCAGGGTGTCAAGATAAGAATTAACAGAGGATAGGAGTGACCATGCACAAGCTGTTGCCTCTAATCTACACACTTGAAGGTCAAGTGTTATATGGAGGTCTGTGACTGTGGACTGGGACATACAACTTTCCTACAGCAACAAACAAGATGGCAAGACAACAGGAGTGTTCGCTCAAGCATCATATAAATTACTGAAGTGGTCAAGCCATTTGCTAAATACTCTGAAGGTTGCTGCTTCATTTAACAGATGCAAAGTTCAGTTCACAAGTGCAATTTTTACCAAGATCCTTGTGGATCATTAATGAAGCTACAGAGTTCGTGCTTTGTATACAACTATCAGCAGGCGGCTATTCATGATGTGAAGAGAGACCAAGCCATAGGGGAATCATCTGAGACAATACACTGACTCTTTTTAACCTGTTTCACCACACAGTACCATCTACCCAATGAAAGCTGAGTTGCCACCCTTTCTGGGGTCCAATGACCCTTTCACAGGAGTCGCCTAAGACCATCAGAAAATACATACACATTGAAGTTATGAAAGAAAATAATTGTCTGAGGGTCGCCACAACATGAGGGAACTGTATTTAAGGGTTGCCACCATGATGACGGTCTCATTCATGCTTGCATACCAACGGCAGCTAAGCTGTTTGAGAATCTAGCAACTCTAGTGAGTCTGATACAGAGAATGTTCCATCGTTACCTAGAGTCTCTAACTGATAAACTAACCCAGAAACTTATTGTATCTTCTGAATTTGTTAGAAAATTGAACAAACTTTAACACTTTATTCTCAAATTTGGACATTCACTGCTCTTGTGGCTGCAAAACAATGGTAAAATAATAATTTTGCAAAATGTTGTCTCTGTAAACATAATACATGCTAAGTTATTTTTTTTTCTACTAACTATACCAGCATTTAACATTGACATATCATTCAAATTCAAAAGTACATTCTTTCCAAATTATAACAATAAATACTTGTATATGGATTATAAATGTATAACATTCTCAACTGCCTTTATTTTACTCCACCCCCTGCACCAATTTTGTCAAGGGAAATTAATGCGAGCCAAAACTGATAGGCCTGAAAGAGTTAACATTTGATTTCAAGCACAATACAAAGCAAACAGCAAATATACGTCAAAATATAAAATAAAATACCATTCATGTCAATAAAAAAAAAAAAAAGATGAAAGACCATGCTTGGAAAGCAAAGCAAACATACACAAAAAATTTGCCCTTAAGCACAGTTGTCTTATTTTTTTATTTGACGGTATCCCCAAAAAAATATTGTGAGGAAAACAGAAAAAAACTCACAACTGAGTCAGCAGAAATTGAAATAAAACTGCAAGCTGGAAAAGACAGTCATGCAAACATAAACCATGTATTACAATTACGTTCTGGTAGGGGACTGTATCACCGATGAATCTGTTGTGAATGTAGCGCTCCACTAGGCTCGTCTTCCCTGCGTAGGATTTTCCAAGGAGGACAACTTTGATGTCCACCTTTCCCCCACTCATTCTGAATCTTTCATGAGAAGACTATAGCCTGGAATAGTTCAACAATATTCAAATGAAATCATCTCTGCAAGAAGTTGTTCATTTTTAATTTTCTTACGTAAATTTGTTTATGTAATTTTATTTTAGAATGGTTAACAGAAGTCACATCATAGCACAGTCAGAAACACTCCCTCAGCTGAAATGCAAGTGTATGGTTGCTAACTATATGTTTGTACCAGGGCATGAGGGTGTAATGGGAAATAAACAAGCTAACAGGCTTGCTGGTGGGGTGATTTTGGCAAGCACTGGACAGAGCTGATATACTGAATGCCTTCAGAGAGACAGAAATGCAGCGGTGACTGTCAGTCTGCAATTCTGACCAGGCTGCAAGAACAGCAAGTGTAAAAAGGGGACATTAAAGAATAGTAAATCGACATCAGTTCGTATATAAAGAAGAGGGAATCTAAGCACACATGGACTAAATGGTTCAGTGAGCAGGGAGGAAGATGCTGACTATGCATGTAACTAAGCACACATGGACTAAATGGTTCAGTGAGCAGGAAGGAAGATGCTGACTATGCATGTAACTAAGTACACTCATCCCTCTGTATTTGCATGCAGATATTCTTCTTCTTCGTGTTCACCAGCTGTAAACAGCATGCAGATTTTTGGTTCTTTGCCTCTCAAACAGATGTAAACCAACTTCAAAAGAAGTCACCAATTAGCTGACTCATACAACGTGTTTGATGGGGAGGCAGTGGGCTATTCTTGTTTTCACAACAGGGCCCCAGAACCCACACAAAAACATTCCGATCTAAAACTAGTATTTGTATGTTCGTTCAGTCTACTTTTCCTGAGAATGTAAAGACAAAGAACAAATGATTCACAGAAGATGGGCTACCAGTGATGATCAGAAGCCTCCATTTATGATTTGTTTTATAGTGAAGTCTTTCCTATATTAGTAAGTAAATTACTAATACTTGCATGCAACAATTACATCAACTAAAATGCTGACATTTTAAATCTGGGCTATCCTCCGAAAAACGGGCACATAATAAAAACACACCCTAACAGGGCCTCAGTTACATGTCAATTGCAGACTTCTAGCGACACCGCCACCGCCGAGAGTATCTCCCACGCCGCTACTAAGCTAGATGGCTGAGACTCATTTGCAAATAAAATGAAGGAAGCTGCAGGAGATGCGGTAGCTGCTGCTCGTGAGTCCCAGCCATCTAGTTTAGCCCTGCTCCACGCTGCGCATAGCGGCGTGGGAGATACTCTCGGCGGTGGCGGTAGTCACCGGAAGTCAGTAGTTTAAGTTGCTGGAAGTCCGCAATTGACATGTGACTGAGGCCCTGTTAGGGTGTGTTTTTGGCCGCCACAATATGTACCCACTATTCGGAGGATAGCCCTGATCTGAAATAAAGAAATGTTATGATAATAATAATAATACCTCAAAAGAGATTAATTCAGTGAGATAAATAGTTACTTTACTCTAGCACAAGAGGAGAACTGTTTGGTCTTTACTGCAGAAGCAAAACAATCAAGTATCAACATTCTTTGATTAGATGATAACAAATGGAGTAGTCAAGACACCAGGAAAGATGGAATGGAAGAGAGATAAAGGGAGGCCAAGAGAATCGAGTCAGGGATGGCCATTTGATAGTATCAGAAATTTAACTAGCCGTCGTCTAGTGCTGTAAACGGTAAAACACGTGACTGGCGGAGCTAGGACGATAGTCTGCACTTGAAGAAGACATTTTAACCACAAGTTGGTCAGATTGGAAAAATGATTATTGCTAATTGATTTAAAACTGCCGTTATTTTGTTATTTTCAATAAAATGCAATTCTAGATACCTTTTAAGTTTACTTCAAATAAAACATAACATACAACTGTTTTACTGATATTCTCGTGGATAGTCAGTAGACAGGCACACAATAAATCTCAACCATCACTAATCAACACAGTTTAACAACGAACTATCATCAAATCAATGACTCACAAGCTTGACTCACCTAACAGTTTACGAACAGATGACACCAGGGTATGTAAGAATATGATATCACGACCGGGCCTCTTGTTATTTATCCTAATTCTAATGTTAATGTCGAATCACGGTCCACCCAAAAGAGGACCCGTCGACATATTATTAGCCAGCATCCTGTCCAAATAAAACAGGAAATACTGCTTACATTTCTCGGAAACACAATTTAATTAAAAAAAAAAAACAGCTGCTTGTCGGCTACGTTGATAGAGTTGAATGAGTGCCCTGTTGTGATGGCTGAGATGCGGGAGTAGAAACACACACAACACAGAGAAACCTGCTCTACAACAGCGTCCCTTCTGGTAGTAGCAGGCCTCCAGCAGACAACGACCAGGGCTGCCGAAGTTGGTACTTTCGCGCTGAATCCAGTAAGTCTTGCAGTAAGTGGTATTGAAGACAGACAATTATGCCTTTGGTCATGTAATTTCCCAGCCTTACTACAGAGTAACATTGTGAACAAATAAATAAGAATATAGGTTATTTATTTAAAGTGTAAGATAAACCACCAGTTTACAATTTTAGAAGAAAAATATGGAGGTGAAAAACGCCTTGTATTATTATCAAAATTCATGCTTAGTCTTCTGGCACCGACTCATTCCTCTGCTGCTGTAGAGGTTTTTTTCCTGCCTAATAATAAAAGAATTTAAAAAAGAATCACCGTTATTTGAGTACTACAACATTAAAATTATTGTGCAATCTATTGTTTGTGTCTTCTTTGTTAAATACATTTTATTGATGAAATAAAGATGCTCCTGAACATATTCTGCACCTACTGAAAACCACTACAACTTGTTACAACAGCTTGTAACAAACTGAGCACACAAAAATACAGATGTAGTAAACACAGAATTTCAATTTTGATCAAACAATTAAAAAATTGTAAACCTTCTGGTGTTTTGTTACCTTATGGGTACTATTCCAAAATATTTTCAACAGCCCTTACGACGACGCCCTCCTTTGGGTTTTGATTCGTACTTCCTGTTTACATCATCATCATCTACATCACTATCGTCTTCTAAGTGTTCATCGGCAGCAATGGTTGGCAGAAGCTTCTGGTTATTCGTCCATATCAGGACTTTGGTCTTGATCCAGAACTTGAGTTTTACGATTACATCCACTTCATAGATCTGGCTTATTTGAAGGCATATTGTTGATTCCTTGCTCTCGGGCAGATGCATTCCGACTTCAAAGGGAACACTGTCGCTTTTTACCACATGCTGCGGGTAGGGTCGAAATCCCCCCTCCCTCACAATGATATGTTTTATGTCCCATGTAAAATAGGGAAGATATTCTGGAACAATGACATTCGTGAAGAAAACGGTGCCCTAATATAACCTAACAGTTGAACGGGATTTTCGGGGCCTTTTAACCGGCGATCGTCATCCGCATGGTGGCACTTTGTGCCACTGGGTGTTTATAGCTCTGTGAGATGTCATGGTGGCGTAAAACTTACTGCTATCACATTGTGTATTAACCTTCGAGGTGTGTGCGTACCTATCTGCATGTTATAATTCCTCTAAACCAATTCCATTTGAGTTAGCGGGCTCCGTCAACACGTAATTTCTTCTTCTTTGATCCTTCTCTCAGAAAACAAATCATGAGGCTAGTAGCCTTTATGGAAGGTATCGTGCAGTCCATATCTTCTCGTGTATCATTCAGTTTTGTCTTTATTGTGGTTGGAACAGGCCAGATTGCGTCTCTGTTGTCAGCATATCGCTAACAGTGTTGGAACTCACGCTCTGTATTTTCGGGTGCCAAGTTGCAGGGATAGATCAGCATTCAGACCCAGAAGATACCATCATCTACACAGATGGATCCGTGAAGCGCGGATCAAGGTCAGCATGGGCATACACAGCGCAAAGAAAGGGGGAAACAATTCATGAGGACAGCGGCGCTTACCAGACAACCACGTCAAGCATGACAATGGAAATAGCCGCTGCTTCTAGAGTATCCGAGCAAACCGCCACACAGGTAGTAATTGTTTCAGACTCAATGAATATGCTTCAGAAGATAGCAACAGGCAGTATGCGCTCTGAATGGATAGAAAGCATCAGGAAATCGCACTTAACCTCCGTAACCTGGATCTACACACCGGGTCATGCGGGCGTGAAGGGAAATGAGCGAGCAGACCAACTGGCAAGCACTGCACTAATGATTGCGGGAAAAAGTATGGACAGAGCAGACATAGTCAACGCTGTACGAACTGGGCTAGTGGAGAATGAGGAATCCCTGAAACTAACACGATTGCGTGACATGGGAGTTAAGCATGGTGATGCACGTCTTTGCCGTCTTCGAGGCCGAGAAAGGAGACAATATAACCAGCTTCTCATGGGGACAATTAGTAGAAGTACTTTAGAGTGGCTGCTGCTTCGGAGAACTGAGCACGCATGGGTATGCCCAATGTGCAGTGACATCAATTGTGATAACAGAACATAAAATAACATCTTAGTAGGGAGTCGGCAGTACGAAACCCAAGTTCAAGGTGTCTCCTTCGTGCCAAAGAACTGCATGGCTGTTGGGTGAACAGTCGTTAACGATGGCAGGCAGGTCGTTGTAGGGGCGACGCCTGCTGGTGGATGTAATGTCCTAAGTCCCTTCCCCAGCTAATAATGAGGGTACTGCTGGGGTGACCGTTTATTAACCCTCATATAATTCTTCCGGTCAAAATGATATAATTCTTCCGGTCAAAATGGACGCTAGGTACGGCCACCTATTTTTTTTTATTTTTATTTTTTATTTTTTTTTTAAAAGCCGTAGCAAATATCCAGAGGTGGCCGTTGCATTTTTGCTCCATTTGTAGACTGGAAGGATGTAGTTTCGTCGCCCAGCTTCTGAGTTGAGTGCATGGCTTGACACTGTGAGCTGCGTTTGTTTTTCGTTGGCACAGGAGCGGAGCATATGTGGGGTGACCCGTTTGCTATGAAGCTGAAACTAGGATTACCAGATTACCAGATTACCAGGGACACGTCTCTGTG